ATCAAAAGGAAAACTGGCTAAATTTACCACTTACCTAGATTAAGCTTCAGATTGTTTTTCTACATCATTTAAGTGAAGGGATGGAGTTCCTTGTGTACCCCATCTAACTTGTGTTTGGATTTCTCCTTTAGCCGAGTGTGAGGTCCAGCAGCAAGAGGTCTTCCTCTCAGTCCAGCCCAGGCAGTCCAAAGAAGCAGAAGAAGGAAAGCAGCTCGGCAGCCTCCCCTACTGACATGGAGCTCGACTCAGGTAGGTTTCATCCTGTGGCTTTGATTTCATCAAGGAGGTAGGAGGAATTTGTGAGCTCCTGAGTTCTGTAAGAAAGGCAAAGCTCCTTTATGAGCACAGACTAGATAGTAAATCTTTCTTTGATTCTTGGAGACCACAGCATCACCACTATCACTGAGAAAAGCTGAGCTGGGGCCGAGCATGGTGGTGTGCCTGTAGTCCAGACACTCGGGAGACCGAAATAGGGGAATCCCCTGAGCTCAGGAGTTTGAGGTTACAGTGAGCTGTGATCACACCGCGGCACTCTAGCCTGGGTAACAGAGCGAAATCCTGTCTCTAAAAAAAAAAAAAAAAAAAAAGCAAAAAGAAGGCAACAAAAAAAAGTGCCCCAAAATTGAACAAGAAACCCCCTCCCATTTCAAATTGCTAGGGAGACCTTAAAGGTCATGGATTAAATCCCCTTAAAGTTCAAAGGAATTAAAGTCCAAAATCAAATTATTTTGCACAAGTGACTTAAAAATCAAAGCCCTCAAATTATTTTCCCAAATTTTTTACTCTGCTTAGTGTCAGCCTTGGGGGTTCTGGATGCCTAGGTAGAGCTTCCAGCACCTGCAGCCCTCAGTCTCCAGTCTCACTTTTAACAAAGCCAAAGAGTTCATAGGAAATAAAATTATCCCAATCTTTGTCACATACCTGTGAAATTTTAAAAACAGACAATGCCTGAAAACCCTATAGCCTTTGTCTCAGACAAAATTATGTTCCCAGAGTCCTGCACTTCTCAGTGTTATCAAAGACCATAGCCAAGACTCAGTGTTTTCTGAGTGAGGGCAAAAATTTGCTTTCAGTCTCCAAAGGATGCTGGTCAGTTAGTGTTAGTGTCTGTCTCCACCACCTATGAACCTAAAGTCAGGCAAAATCTCTCAATAAGTGAATTTGGGTCCTGTGTGCTTATTATAAAATACTGTGGGAGAAATCCGCCTGTGCATGTATGATCATTTCAGACGTTTGCCATTTCTCACAGTTTGGGGATTTGTGGTGGTGGCACCCCTGTCACCAGGTCTACACGCTTCTGTGCAGGCATTTTCAGCCCTGTGCTGGGGGCTCTTCTATGTCTTTTTAGGGAAATGCTGAAGTGAGAAACCTACTTCTAGGGGAAGTGTCTCTCTCTCTGCCTCTCTCTCTTTCTCTCACTTATACCAACCTGAGCCCATATGGTGAGGTGAGACTCTTGATCCTATGGCCAGAGCCTTAAGGTTCCAAGTTGAGTGCCTCCACATTCCTTCCTCAGCTCTCAATCCAGAATGGAATATAGGACAGTAGATATAGCACTTGTCTTACTAACCCTGGTTTAATTAGAACCTTGCTAACTCTCTATAATGCAGGCAGAACCTTTTTTTGCATTAGTTCTCTGTGATGCAAACAGAACCTTTGCAGAACAAAGGTTATTTGTAAGAGCCTGACATGACTCATTTTCTTACCATCCAGACTTTGTCTCAGCCACACCTCCTGACAAATGCTGGGCCCTCACCTTTGCAGTCTGTGCCTCAGCTCACTGGGTCACCCTTGCCCTTCAGTCTGTAGTGGAGTCTTGCTTACTGAGCCTCTGCTGGCATCTGTGGAGGCTTCTACCTGCCTGCACACACCTGCTAAGTATAGCTCAAGGTCCTGGGGCCACTTGCTAAAGGCCTGCTGGGCCCAACCATCAGCAAAGGCACCTGGTTTTGTTTGCAGGCCCTCTGCCTCCTTAGAGATGGCCACACTTACAAATAAAGTCACCATGAGATATAATCACCTGCTGAGGACAAAGGACCGTGTGGCCAGAGGTTCCTTGCCCAATCCACAGACGGGCCAAAGATGGGCCCGTGTGAGTCTCCACAAGGTGCTAGGATCAGAACACTGTGGCCACACCCTGAGGCCCAAGGCCTAAAGCCTCACATGTCCTCATGTGTCCTTCCACCAAAAACCTCTCCAGGTATCTCCTCACCCCTGATCAGTCCTCCTGTTGTTTTTTTTTTTTTGAGACAGAGTCTCGCTCCGTCTCCTTGGCTAGAGTGCCGTGGCGTCAGCCTGGCTCACAGTGACCTCAAACTCCTGGGCTCAAACAATCCTCCTGCCTCAGCCTCCCGAGTAGCTGGGACTACAGGCATGCGCTACCATGCCCAGCTAATTGGTTCTATGTATTTTTAGTTGTCCAGATAATTTCTTTCTATTTTTAGTAGAGACAGGGTCTCGCTCTTGCTCAGGCTGGTCTCGAACTCCTGACCTCAAATGATCCTCCCACCTCGGCCTCCCAGAGTGCTAGGATTACAGGCGTGAGCCGCCACGCCCGGCCCTCCTGTTGTTATTAATACTTCTCAGTGCTGCTTGCCAACACGCTAAATGTCAGGCTCTCTGAGGGTGTTAATAGCAATCCCTTTCCTGCCTAGGTTCTGAACTACTAAGTGATCATACAGCGAGTAACAGGTCAAATTATCAAGGCCAGCTTTTAGCTCTGCTTAGTGAGAGGCCAAGTGGGCCTGCCAGCTGAACTAGGCTGCCTTCTTAGCACCCAGTCAGTGGCCCTAAGTCAAGGCAAGCCCTTCCACCCTTCTACCACTGCAACCCCCATCCAGCTTCTTCCTGCCCTGCAGGGGCACAGCTCCATAAGGAGGGGCAGTGGGAATGACCTCTCTGGCCAGCTCACTCCCTAGGAGAAGAAACATTGAGTCAGTCTAATTTTCACTTTCTCGTGGAAAGTTTTATTAGTAGCATATAATTTGTGTGTTAAAAGTGAAACGGATTCCATGTCCCAGACCTGTGAGTATAGCGATTCAGTTTGGAATTGTGAAATATAGCTGAGTTTGAATAATTTTAGTAAAACCAAATGCCATTACAACTGCTGAAGTATCTCTTAACTTTCTAATTTCAGATATGGAGGCAGCTCATAGTTCTCAGAGCAGGGACACTTTTCAGTTCCAGCCACCATTACCTCCTGGCACTCCTCCTCCGCTGCCACAGGGAACTCCTCCACCCATCTTCATTCCTCCGCTCCCCAAGGGCACCCCGCCCCTGACTCCCAGCGACTCGCCCCAGACCAGGACAGCATCTGCAGCTATGGACGAGGACGCGCTGACTCTAGAAGAACTTGAAGAACAGCAGAGGCGGATATGGGCGGCTCTCGAGCAGGCGGAGAGCATGAACAGTGATTCTGATGTTCCTGTGGACACACCTTTAACTGGGAATTCTGTTGCCTCGTCACCTTCTCCAAATGAGCTAGACCTCCCTGTCCCGGAGGAAAAAGAATCTGAAAAGCAGGTGGTACTGGACGAGCCTGAGGTACCAGACACTTGTACAAAGAAACCGGAAGTTGAACGTTCCTCAGGTCCAGAAGCTGAGGCTACGTCGCTCTGTCAGGAGGAAAATGAAGAGTGTGCTCCAGTAGACACTAAAGCTGCTCCTCTTGATAATGGCAATGTCGTATCCCACTGTGACGTTAGGAATGGAGGTGGCCAGAAGCTCCTTCACTCAGATACCACTCCTTCAATGGCCACCAAAATTCACAGCCCTATCCCTGACATGAGCAAATTTGCAACGGGAATAACGCCATTTGAATTTGAGAATATGGCAGAATCTACTGGCATGTACCTCAGGATAAGAAACTTGTTAAAGAACTCGCCCCGAAACCAGCAGAAAAATAAAAAGGCTTCTGAATAACTGCTTGGCATAGCACCAGGAGCTATTTAATTATCTATAACTTTGTCTTCTGTTAATTAGTGCTAAGTGGACAGATAAAATTGTTTTCCTATTTGTCCCTCCCATGTTTAAAATTCTACCCAAGGTTTAATTATGTTCTCAAGTCAAGCCTATTTTAAAGAATGGGAAGACTGGGCTTACTAGTTTACAATATTTTATTCTCACTGACGAAAAGTTGGGTGGGGGGCAAATGTAAGTTTGAGCTGGTTTAGAGATAGTTTGTTAAGGTTTATACTATTTTTGGATTGTGAGTGTCCATCAAGAGTGGTTTTTATCTGTCTTTTGTACATTGTTTTCCCTTTCTACATTTTGCTAATTATCCTGTATATAAGTTTAATATATCACTTTTTAAAAGAAAAAATTCTAACCATTTTAAATTCATATTTCAACTCTGACAACCAAATGAGAAAAATCAGGGATGAGCAGCTTTATCAATTTGGGGTATTTTTATAAGTGATTTACATGCATCAATTTTAATAACACTTTTACTTTTTTGTAACTTCATTCTGCATATAAGCTTGCTATACAGGTGTGTTCATCTTTGTGTACAGAGGTTTAATAAATTAGTTTGCATATACATAATCTAAGACTTTGAATACAAAAAAGTGATTCACAGTTAAATTAGTGTATATAACCTTTCAAGTGTGGAGATGAATTATGTGGTTGCAAAATTTAGTGGTAGCAAAGGAAACAGTTATATGAAATTGCAAGTTTGTTTTTGGTGGATTTCAGCTTTAAATATAGAAACAGCAGACTCTTTTAAAGCAATTATTTTGAAAAAAATGAATGGAGGGCAGCTAGCCTTGTACAAAAATAATTTTGTAGATTTGAATCCTAAGATTATTAATAGTTAAAAATTTTAAAGTAGACAAGCAAATTGCTTTTAATCGTCAAATATGTAAGATAGAGCTGAAACTATGGTTTTTGTCTTTATGTGAAATGCCCTTACATCTTTATACTTAGTCAAGTTCATGAAAAGAAATGTTTAGATGATCTTGAATTACTAGTCTTAGGTAGTGTTATCCTGCTCTGAGGCCAACAGAGGGAGCAAAATAGAACCATTCCAGATTTACTTCTCATTTCTGAGAACTCGAGTAATCAAATTTACTGTTCTATAAACAATAAAGGGAACGAAAATTATATGAATGGTGTGGGGGAGAATTTATTTTTAAGGCCCTCACAGACTGTGCTAGAAATAGAATAAAATACCTTTGGCTTTTTTTCCTCTGAGTTTAAGTACATAATAAAAGCAATGCTTTATGGTAGTTTGCACAGTGCTTTTACATACATTATCTCACTCAACATTTCTATCAGGCAAATAGTTAAGGAAAAAAAGAAGGAAGGGGAGGCAGAGAGAGGTTAAAGGGACTTGTCAACATTCAAGAGGTGGTCCTCGAGAGGCCAGTCTTGCACTAAAGACTGTTCCCTAAATCGCAGTCTAATGCCTCTTCAAGTATTACATTGGTAGAGTCATCTGTGTGCACCAGAAATACCTTGACGGTTACCTTTTTAGCACATACCAGGTATATTAAGGTATTTTCGTGCATTCGCCCGTTTTCACAATCACCACATAAGGTAGGTATTGTTAACTTCACTTTTTAGAGGAAATGCCTAAGACACACAGCTGGTAAGCCACCTAGCAAACTAAATCCGGATCTCTCCGACCCCCACATCCACGCTCTGAACCACCGTACTGCCTCCCTGTCAAGAGCTCTATAAAAGCACTGATTTCTCAAAAAATTGGCTCCTATTTCATTTGTTCAATTACGAGTTGGGGGCACATTTGTTTTCAATGTTGCTCAGTGTGCTTTGGAGCATTAAAAGAAGTAACTCTAGAGTCCACCTTTAAGGAGCTTATACAGCAGTGGGAGAAAATGGAGGGTCCCTCTCAGTCAAGCAGGACTTAGTAAGTGGCCGTGGGAAGATGGCAAGTTACTAGGACCATTTTGGAGCTGTGGGAGAATCACCTATGTAAGACTGGCTTCAAATTCCCAGGACCACTGGTTTAAGTATTCATTTGGCAGGTATTTGAAGACTTCTGGAAAGAGAGAATCCCTTAGCTAATCCTTAAAGTGTAGGTAGGAGGATTCCATAGACAAAACGAGCTTTGAAATGTACAGGAAACAGCGTGAGTAAAGCAGAAAGTAAAACACTCAAGAAATGTAGGGTGGTAGGAGAGACTAAGAGTTGCATATTCATCGATGCTAAGAACTCTGATTGCTTTGCTATGCGGTTTGAATTTTACTAGTGAGAAGGATCTAAACATCTTGCTGTAGCGAGTGACCTCATCCGAGTGGTATTTTAAGACGATAAATCCTAAAGTAAAATTCTGAATGAATGGAAGAGACAATTGATAGAAGGGAACACATAAAAATGGGAGGTAGTTGCCTTGAGGGGGTGCCCCATTTTTAAAGTTTGTTCTGTTTGCTGTACTTGAGTGTTATGACGAGAATGTTGGGTGGAGGAACAAGTTATTGTTTGGACTTGTTCGTGCTGTGACAAATCTCCAGGTGCGGGTAGGTGAGGTAACAACCAAACACTTGTACTTCAAGACGGACTTGGAGCGCGCGGGTGGGGATCTCTTCCTAATCTCTGTCTTGGGTCAGAAGGAATGTGGATTGGAGCACAGGTTGCTAAAACAAGGCCAGCTCTTTGTCTTTGCTTTGAGTAGGTAAGTGGAAAGGAGGCACTGCCCTTACTGAAATACAAAATAACCTAGTGCTTTTTCAAAAGGTTGCATTTTCTTAAGTGGTGAAAATAATTGTCTATTTTCTACTAAGAAGAGGCTTCCTACACCTAGTTGATTTTATTCTTCAAGTTCTCTGCTGGAATCATTTTGCTCTTCTGCCTTGCCCCTTGTAGATTTTCATTAGCAGGCAAAACCAACAAGGGTGTTGTAACAATGTTTAGTATCCAAGTTGCTTGTAAGACCTGACCCAGTTCCCAAGAACCCAATATAACATATCACATAACCTGTGTTTTTCTTCAAGATTTAGGAAAATTCTTTTGCCTTCCACTTAATAGATTCATTTGATTTAATGGTATAAATGCACTTTGAAGTGAATGTTTAGGATTAAATTACAGTATTTTGTTAAAGGGAAGTGTTTATAAATAGTTCTTAATTACAGAGCCGTGTCTATATTCTTAGTAAATTAGAAATCTCTGAACAAGGCATGTTTTGTAAATCACCAGCAATCCAGCTAGAATGTTCATATTGGACTGGACGGGGGAACATGACAGCTGTCTAAAAATAGGAAATTAATTTTTTTTTTTTGGTCTCTGAAAGAAATGATGGTGTGTGGGGGAGGGGAACGGAGTGCCACTGTAACATTGCATTAAGCGGAAAGTCTCCCTCCCCGTTCGTTCAGTCTGCAGAGCATGTCTTTGTCATCCACTTTTGCATCCTAAATTTGTGAATTTTATGATTTAGGAAACGGCCTCTTCGTAAAATTCACATCCCTTACCCCTCTATTAGCTGATGTGAAATGTCTACACATCAGATCCATCTTCTTAGTCCATTTTCATTTCTCATTAAATTACACCTTTTCTTAGCCTTTTAAAGAATAAAGTGTGATGCTTCATTTTTCTTTGTTTAAAATGTTTAATTTTTAAATTGTCAGCAGGAGGAATAGTAAAGCCATACATATGAAGGAAAATAAGCCATAGAGGAAACCTACACCATTTTTCTTCAGATAGTATAGAAATTTATTTTCCCAACAATTTTCTAAACATGATACCTTTTTTTATTTCCCGAAATGAAAATTTTTGATTTTGTTGCTCATTATAATACATGTTTGTTCTAAAAAGTCAAAACAGAATAGTATAAAGTGAAAGTCCTTTATAGTTACAACTTTCAAAGGAAATCATTGTTCACAGTTTGGTATACTTTTTTCCTGAGCAAATGCATGTACCTAAGTTTTGGCTTTTTAAATATTTTGTATATATAAGTGTATGTTTTAATAAGGGTGAGATTATAAACTTTCCATGTCAGTATTTGAAACCTAATTATTATTCTTAATGGTTGCATAGTAGTATACCACATTTTACTCAATGTTGTTGACAGTATTTTGTTGTTAGCAATGCTGCAATAAACATTCTTAAAGGTAAACCTTTGAATATTTGTGGAAACAGGTATAGAGAACGCATTCCTAGATTATAAATAAGATTGAATATTTTGTGTTTATTGGCAATTTTTTTCTATGAATTCTCTTTTTATATGCTTTGCTCATTGTTCTGTTGGGTTACTTGGCATATTGTAACTCTTTATAAAAGTTACATACCTTTTGTTAGGTATGCTGCAGAATTATGTTTTCAATTTGTCATGTATATTTTAATTTGTTAATGGCATCTTTTGCAGTACAGAATTTTCAAATTCTTACACATCAAATCATTGAATCTTTTCCTTTATGAATTGACAGTTTCAATGTGATGTTCTATTTTCCAAAAGACTTTTTGTTTTGCAAGTGGACACTCTGATATCCAATAATGTAGTTTATTGACTAAAACTGGTATTGCAAAATTAATTCCTCCTAGTATTTAAATGGTGTAATTTAAACAACTCTCTAACTTTATTTTCATGTCAATAGTTTTACTAATTACCATCCAAATTTGGTTCACCATGCCCTAAATATCATCATATTTTAGATTTTCTTTATGAATAAACTGGAAAGACAATGTCATTTTTTTCCTTTTATTGAATTTTTTTTACACATGGATAAATGAAAAAAAAATCTTAGAAGAATGACTAAAGCAGAATACCAAAAATATAATCTAACCAAAAGAAGGAACAGATCACAGTAAAAAAAA